GTGCTGAGTCCCAGTGCGCAGTGGTCTGCTTCCAGTCCCAGAGATGGTTGATGTGGATCAGGAGCACCCAGCACCTCTCACGATGTATTCAATCACTGAGCACTGGGACCCAGAAGGGGCGTTTCCATGGAGGTTGCTGGGCTGAAGGCCTTGAATATCCACAGTATTCCTGAGTTCGTGCAATTACACCTGATTGAAAGTGGAAGATTTTTTTTCCTGCTTGCACTGTTGATGCTTGCAGGGTTACACCTTCAGTGTTCATAAGTTTCTCTCACTGCAGTTTCTTTCACTTGGCTGAAATAGCAACACGTTGTGGATACACTAGGTATGTTTTAATAAGTGGCGAGGACAATACATTAGCAGTGCCTCACCCATCACCTCCCACAGACTGATGATATAAAACTATGGCCCAGTGTTCTCTAGGTCAACATCAAGAGCACCAAGGTGTACAACTACCTGCAACAAAATTGATCAAGTACTGCTCTTTATTTTTCTTAAAGCAGCCATAGAGGGCGCTGTTTGTAAACTGAAACATGCTGAAATTAATGGCAACATTTTTCTACATTTAGCTCCAAACCTTATAAAAAAACATGTTTGGGTTTTGTTTGGTTTTTTTAGTCACTTTTTCCAACGTTTATATTTGCTACAGGAAGCTAAATATTTAGCACATTTATTCTACTGGTCAATGGAAATACTGAAATAAAAGCCCTGCTCTAAAGTAGCTGTAGTGGTCAGGTTGTGACTGCTCTGCCTTGATGGTCACTTCTCACCAGGATGTCCAGCAATTTAGCTGAAAACATGGGCAGAGCCGTTTTGGTTCAGCAGCAGTGCACCTTCAGCAGCTGTTCTGTACATTACTAGAACAAATTAAAAATGAAAAGACTTGGATGCAGGTGAAGGGCAGACTTTCAGCTTTAATTCAGTGGGTTGGACAAAAAGTGCATAAAGATGTGAGGAACTAAAGCTCCTTTTCAACAGAATCCATTTCAGAGACTCATTAGTATTTGGACAAATGAACTTTAAGTGGAATGTTCATTTCTATTACTTTATTCGAACGCTGCCCAATCACTGTGACTACATTTAGCTGGATGTGGGCTGACGGTCTCTAAACACCTCAGTTCATCCAGCTGCTTCTGTCCTGTGTCACGTCATCAATAAACACTAGTGTCCCAGTGGCAGCCGAGCCCGCCCTAACCATCACACTGCCTCCGCAGTGTTTTACAGATGATGTGAGTTGTTCCACACCTCCAATTTTTTTTTCTTTTCCATCATTCTGGTAGAGGTTTCGTGTGTCCAAAGCACATTTGTCCAAAACTGTGCCGGCTTTTTTACATGGTTTTTGTTTTTTAAACGAAGTCCAATCTTAGCCTTCCTATTCGTGAGGCTGCAGCGAACCCTCTGTATTTACCGTCATATAGTCTTCTCTTTATGGTAGACTTTGAAATTGATACGCCTGCCTGCTGGAGAGTGTTGTTCACTTGGTTCACTGTTGTCATGGGGTTTCTCTTCACCATGGAAATGTTTCATGTAGCAATTTCTCTGATTGGTTGTTCTGTTCAGTTCTGTTGGACCACATGTTGCCTGTTCACAGTAAAATTTCCAAATGCGAACACTACACCTTAAATCATCTCCAGGCCATTTATCTGCTTAATTGATAACAACATAACGAAGGAATTGTCCATACCTGCCTATGAGCCTTCAAGTCCCTTGTCCAATTACCTTTGTTGCCTTCAAAAAGAGGGTAAGACGAAGAAACTCCTAAATGCTTCATCCAATTCCAACATGGATAATCAAAGCTGAGTCTGCACATCATGTCCATGATATAACTATAAGCGGAATATGTTTCAGTAAACGAAACTCGTCAGTGTCCAAATATACACGGACCTAGCTGCAGGCCTTTTCTACTCTGAGTGCTCAGAGCACTTTGTACGACACATCTCAGTTACACATTCACAGCAAACACATTAGTGCTTTTTCTGTCCAACATTCACACACAGTCACAGTCAGATAAACCCACTGGGAGCTGTAGAGCACCCGCAGATCAAATCGCCAACTTAGTAGACAAACCCGCTCCAGCCACGCCCACGCCACACGTTTTGTGGTGTAATGTCTCCTTTAATTATCAGTACTTAAGACATCAACATTTTGATTTGACACACATGAGTGAAGTGCTAATCTACACGATAAAAATGGTTCAGTGCTCTGTGTAATGGGTAGACCATAGTATCATAGTCTGAGTCTACACGTTCCATGAAAGGGTAACAGAAGCCTTAGGGATGTATCTGTGTTTGCATTTCAGGTTCCTCTTCCATCAGTTCCTCAAGATCGTGCTCCACACTCATGTTTTGTGTAGGAAAAACAAGACCTGCAAACACAATACAAAAGATGTTGTGTGCTCGCCCTTGTCTTCAGCATCAACGTTACGCATACCGAGAGGAGATTTAAGAGCAAAACCAGCACAAGATGCCTTATTGGGAAGATCTCACTGGTCTGAAGCACAACAATCTTCAGAAAGCTGCACAGGAAAACATTTGATATCGCAGTGCAGAGATATTTACTTTCTGATTCATACAAGGTGCATCTGAAAAATGGAAGCGGTGAACATGCTGAATGGAAACGTATTGAAACTGTAAGCTCGATGACCAGTTTGATTTTGTGACTGCAGTGAGTATGAACAGAATTCCTGTGGTGTTTGTTTGATTCACAAGGACATCATTAATGTGTCTGATTTTAATGTTTACAGATCATCACAGCCAAGCAGGGACATGTGCCCAACTTTCACTACAACTTTATTTGAGTGGAATTTAAAGATCATTATGGTGATTTTGATTTCAGTCCATTTTCTTACCAAGACATCGCCATGAAACGAGTGCTGGGAACAGAAAAAGGGAAGAACACAAACGAATAACTGAACATTTCTAGGCTGAAGCGTTTGCCCTACAGCACATTCTGGATGACAACACGTTTTAATAATATTTCACCAAAACAATGTTTCATGAACAAAGATGATTAAACTTTTATTTCATGAATGAAAAGTTATGGAGGAAATGATGGTTGCAAATTTCTCCAGTGTGTGGAAAGTAAGCAGAAACTCACATGTCCATGAGTCAATCCAGGACTACGTGACACACAGATGTATGAAAGCTTACAACTGACGAGCAAAGCACAGACAGAACCTCTGTGTTTTTATAAATACATTAGTCGTCATATAGCTCTATTTTCGAGCCACCAGGTTAACGGTGGTTTTCCTTTGATTTGAGATAAGGAGCTGACAGACACTTGGAGAAAGGATGAAGAGGCATTTGTGAAGGCTTTTGCTACTAGGAGCAGCAAAGTTGCAGCCATAGGTTTTCAAGCAGCTCCTAAAATAACATTCATTCACGATGAAAGCAAACATCTGCCCATTGCGCACACATGTGCAAATGAGCTTCTGCGTTTTGTAAGTGAAACAACAATGGCTGATGATGATGCAGCACTCACCACTCAGACTTGGAAAACAGTAAATGTCTCATAAGCTGCAATAACATTTGGTTACTCTGGTAATCTGATGCCTTATGAACCCTTCAGCTCCAAATTTAATTTAGATATCAAGGAACAATATCAACCCCCGGACCCACTCCGGGTCGGGGATGAGTTCCTGCCCCAAGTGGAGGAGTTCAAGTATCTCGGGGTCTTGTTCGCGAGTGATGGGAGAAGGGAGCCGGAGATCGACAGACGGATTGGGGCTGCAGCTGCAGTAATGCGGACGCTGCACCGGTCCGTCGTGGTGAAGAGGGAGCTGAGTGTAAAAGCGAAGCTCTCAATTTACCGGTCAATCTACGTCCCTACCCTCACCTATGGCCACGAGCTGTGGGTAGTGACCGAAAGAACGAGATCGCGGATACAAGCGGCAGAAATGAGCTTCCTCCGAAGGGTGGCTGGCCTCTCCCTTAGAGATAGGGTGAGAAGTTCGGCCATCCGGGAGGGGCTCAGAGTAGAGCAGCTGCTGCTCCACATCGAAAGGAGCCAGCTGAGGTGGTTCGGGCATCTGACAAGGATGCCCCCTGGGCGCCTCCTGGGTGAGGTGTTCCAGGCATGTCCCACCGGGAGGAGGCCCCGGGGCAGACCCAGGACACGCTGGAGAGATTATATCTCTCGGCTGGCCTGGGAACGCCTTGGTATTCCCCCGGACAAGCTGGAGGAGGTGGCTGGGGAGAGGGAGGTCTGGGCCTCTTTGCTTAGGCTGCTGCCCCCGCGACCCGGCCCCGGACAAAGCGGATGAGGATGGATGGATGGATGGATGGATGGAACAATATCAAAGTTATTAAAGCAAATCCAGAACCGGTTGTGTCCACCTCTTAAAATCTGCATCATAACTATAGGAGTCCAAGGTTTCCTGAACTTCTGCTTAATGGACTTTCTGTTAATGATAGAAAGTTGTCCAATAAGAACATTATTTATCCGAGAGCTGCGTTCATTCTTAGCTAACAGATCAGCTCCTCACCTCCAATCTAGACAAGTCATGAATGAACTGATTGAAGGTGTTTAACCATCAAGACCCTGCTGGCTGCTCTTTCTGTAACGAAGATGCAGCTACACTGTTGTTTGGCTTCATCTAAAGACACTGTATTGATTGGTTGTTTCACAGCAAAACCAGAATATCGACCTTTAAATTAAATGTTAGAATAATCTGTGGTCAATTTTTTATACACAAATGCCGTTATTTAAAAACTCGCCCTTGAAATTCATAAAATGTCCAAAAATGTTAAGCCAACCGCACATTTCCTCTAATTTTGTTTTGTAATTTACTTTTTTGAATTATTATTTCAATATTGGATTCTTGTCACCATGTACTGCTGGTCCTTTTCTTTCTGCTCGTGTCTGTTTGTAGCGCTGCTGAGTCTGAAGGATTTGCTGCGCCAAGTTTTTTTTAAAACTAAAACCGGCAGCCCCGCAGCCGCCTTCATCCGGGACCTCCGGGGCGGGGCAGTTGAGCCTGTCGTTTGTGAAGGGAGCAATTTGATTGGACGGTTTTAATGTTTTCCCTTTCAAACGCGCTCTGAACCGGAAGCTCTAAACGAGCCGAGAACTTGCAGCGCGCAGTGCTTGAATCCTCCGAGAAACGGCGGCAGCGCTCAGGCTGGCGGAGACCATGAGAGGAAGAGCTCAGCGCAAGGTAGGACTGAATGAACACGCAGGCAGAGCCTCCACTGTCAGAGACAGGTGTGAGGCTTCACGCGTGGTTTCTGTGACCGGCAGGTGGTGACGTCAGGAAGGCTGACGGGAGCAGCCAGAGGGGGTCTGTGAGTACACCCGCCTTCATGTAGCGTTTTCTGTGTCTGCATGTGTACGTGTGCCTGTTAGCGCTCTCCTCACTGTTGTTTTCAGAGCCAGCTTAAATCCAGGAACAGCTGCCTGCCCTGAGCCCGCCTACTCCCTGTACTCCACCGACTCCGAGGGCCAGGTGATGAGACCGTTCACGCTCCGCCCACATTATGTATACGCAGACCACGGGTGGCGACATGTGAAGCTAACACTTTTATTATGAGTTCTCAGGATTTATTCACCTGCTTGTGTAGCAGTACTAAATATTAACAGTGTCATCTCGGACGGGTATCACATCCAGGCATGACCGAGTCTTTGCCACAACACACACCTCAGGGTAGTAAACATGGGGAGGTGAACAGAGGAAATCTAGCACTTCCACAAAGTCCGAAGGCTTGACAGACAAACCACTAACCCACACTACCGCATCATCGGCTCGGTGTCTGAACACATGTCAATAAACCGGACGTGTCTGCCCCCAGGTCATCAGTCTGCACAAGGGCCTGGACCGCTGTGCTGCCCTGCTCGGTGGGATCCTTCAGGCTGATAAGGCAGGTCAGAGGAGCTTCCTAATGCTGTAGATCAGCTCAGTTTGTTACAAGTCACAGTACAAAAGCTTAAAGTATCAACCTGTTCCTGTGTGGTTACACTGTATAAGTTAGATCTGTCCAACACTTACTGGTTGAATGCAACATAATAGTACTCTGTGTGTGTGTAAGTGTCTCCGAGGCTTCACAGAACAGTAAGCAGTGCAGCAGCCAAACCAAGGCTTTCCACATCAACGGGGAAAAAGAGCTTGAAGAAAGGGCCTCCAAAGGCAGGTGGGCGTGTTCGAGGTTTGCTTTACTGCACACTCTTACAAGACAGTCGCTGAGAACTAAATGACATAAAGGTCTCGTGTTAATTCCACTGTGGGACTATAAACTGCAGAGGACAGGATTACATTGATGGTGACCAAAAGCTTTTAGGACTTTTGTTCATTTGTTCTGGAAAATGGATTCAAGGCTTATAACTTAGCAACAGTTGCTTAGAGCCGCCTCTAGGAGCCTCTCAAAAGTAGAGCTGAACCATCCATGTCCTGTTGGTCACATGGGGCAGAGACTAAGAACGGACCCCCGACGTCCCTCCCCAGCCACCTCCTGCAGCTCATCTGGGGGAACACTAAGACATTTCCAGGCCAGCTTAGAGATGTCGTCTTTCCAGTGTGTGATGTGCCAGGGCCGCCTTCTCGTGGGACATGCCCAAACACCCAGGAGGCATCATAATCAGGTTCCTCCCTTTGATGTGGAACTGTAGCAGTTCCACTGCGAGTCCCTCCTGAACGACTGAAATTCTACTCTCACACTAGAGGAGAGCCCGGCCACCCTTTGGAGGAAGCTCATTCTTTTAATCAATCACTAACAATCAATCAGGACATGAGCACCAACAAACTGATTGGCTGATGCAGCTTTATAAATATGTGAGAAACCACGTGTAGAAAGTCTAATGTTAATCATTCCTCCCTCTTCCAGGCCAGAAGAGCGCGTCAGGCCGGCATGGATCGGACAGCAGAACTCCACGAGGACACCCGTCTGCCCGTCCTGCACCACATTCAGGAGTGAAGCTACATCCACCTCAGAAACCATGTCCCACCCAGCTGCAGTCTCACTTACTTTCACCTCGGCTTCTTCCTCGCACCGTCAGTCCGCCCCGGCACGAGGCGTCCGTCCTTCTGTCTGTGCGTCAGTCCTCCTCTCTCTCGAGCCATCGGACTGCCTGCCGGCCTGACTCTGAGACGCCTCGCACTGCGTGTGATGAAGCACAAGAGTTTGTTCCTGTGAGAGACACGCACACCCAGAGCCCCAGCACACACACTCTCACACATGCACACGGAGACAGCTGCAGTATGAAGATGGCACACTTCCAGCTGGAGCCTGGACAGGCTGAGGAGAGCAACACTGAGGCACAAACAAAAGCTCACAAGCTTCAGCATCTGTTCGCACAACTCAAGCCTCTGATTGCTGGACAAGGTAAAGTGACTGTGCATCTCACCCCTGGACCCTGCCAGACATCACTCACACAAACACAACCTCTGTGATACCTGAATGCATCGAACACTAAGCTACATGTCACTGATGTGGGAGCTCAGCAAAGTTCTGCTGACGTGGACTTCTGCTGTAGTCACACACAGGACGCGAGCCTCTGTGTCACATGTGCTGACGATGTTAGAGATGTCACTGTGTGTGTGTGTGTGTGTGTGTGTGTGTGTGTCAGGCAGTGTAGCAGAGAGCCTACTCAGTCACCTGGAGCAGACTGTGTCCACAGCACAGATGAATAATAGTGCTTCAAACATCCAGAGTGTGTCAGACCTGCACAGGTGAGACACACGACGTCCTTCACTTCACTGGACTCTGACGGTTTTGGTATAACGTGTGTGTGTGTGTGTGTGTGTGTGTCCTAGGTGTGTGAGGAACCTGGACCAGCAGCCAGAGACGGAGAGACATCAGAACCAGGCGATGCTCTGTAACTGTAAATTGTGTGACAGTCATAAATAGTTGTGTATTTATTTCATTTGTATTAAAATAACACAGTCAGCTCGAGCTGCGTCACACTAAGGTAAAGACCCAACAACAGACACGCTGTGATTTTACTGTTGGGTTCAGTGTGCTCAGTCAGGGTAAAAAGCTTTGACTGGGGAGTAATTGAAAAGGTCTCCACAGGGCAGAGACTTCAGGAAGAGCTCACTGCTGCTCAGTCCAGGCTGCAGGAACTCCAAGATGACCTGACGGACCTACGGCAAACCCTGCAGGACACACAGAGCCAGCTGAGAGACCGAGAGGCTGAAACCGCACTCGCTAAGATGGGTACGCACTCGCAGTGTCCTGCTGATGATCTGAGCTGTGGGCTCTTTGTGATGAAATCTCCTCCATTATCAAAGTGAAAGACACTGCATGAACAACATCAAGTATTATTGCATCGTTTCATATGGTGTCTGCAGTGTTTCCTTACGTGTGTGTGTGTGTGTGTGTGTGTGTGTGTGTGTGTGTGCGCAGAGCTGGAGGCCAGTAAGAGTAGGTTACTGGACAGTGAGCGGGAGAGGAGTAAGCTGGCCTCGCTGGCACAACAAAGGCTGAAGGAGATGGAGCACCTCCACAGGTGGGCCTGTGTGGGTGGGCGTCACCCCCCAGAATGAGCCCTACAGCTGCTTTAACAATGCTGTTAATACATGAAAGTGTGACACGATTCAGAACTGTTCCTCACTCATGTCGTCTTCTGCTGCAGTCTCCTCTCAGCAGATCATGTTGTTGACAGCTCTGTGTCAGAGACGAGCCAACACCAGCACAGACGGATGCCAGCGCCCCCTACTGACCACATCGCCCAATACCTGAAGTCTCTTAGCCAGATAGCGCCTGTGCAGTGTGTGGATGCAGAGAGAGATTCAGACTCGGCACATCTAGACGTCACAGCTCAGAGGAGAGAAGATCGTGCAGGGACTCGGCCCGAGTCTGATCGAGAGCGGTCCGCTGGTCCAGGTGAAGCCCTGCGGCCAGAGGACGCTCGCAGGCAGCTGTTTAACTCCACGCTGTCCCAGAGTGAAACTGAGTCTGTGTGGTCTGATTTGACCTTTGACACCAGAGACGAAGCAGCGTTCAGAGACGGCCTGGCAGCTCTGGACGCTAGCATAGCCAGTCTGCAGAAGACTATTAAGCTGGACCTGAGGCGGTGACCGTGCTGGTCTTTGTATTCATCCATGTTTGGGCCGTGCTGATGAACTGTTCTGTAAAGTGTTGTTTAAGATTGGGGAATAAAGCTGTTTTTATGAATGTCTTCATGGACAGACACTGCTTTGTTCTGCTGCTCGTGGAGGTGTACAACTTTCTAACAAGTCATAACAGACAGAACATACACCACAAATGATCCTTCATTCTGGCGGCCGGGACACTCAAACTCCTCAGGTTAGTGAATTTGCACAAAGCAGAAAATGATCAGCATGAACCCAAAGTGCCGTCTGAGAGAAGAAACCTGGACTGAAGGGAAAGTATTGAGATGATCCCAGAGGCTGTGCAGGTGCATTATCTCTGGGGTCAATATAAATGTAGACGGGCAAAATAAATCCAGCAGCCACAAGTTTGAGTGCACGGTGTCGTCCACGAATGTGGAGCACAGCTCTTTATACACAGCTAGAGCGCAGGCTGGTGTCACAGCGGCGCTCTGTCCCACGTAGTGACGTCATCTCTGAGTCCAGGCAGTCTTTGGGTTTCTCTTCAGGCAGCCTGATGTCACCTTGTAGAAAACCGTCTGACATTTAACTCAAACATGTTTAAACTAAAATGTATTTGTGTGATAAAAATCAAAGCATGCACAAATACTGTCTTATATGTAAAACAGGTTTTATTGAGTACAAATGCAGGTCAGTGTAAGGTCGTGTGCGACAGTGTTCAGAAAAACGGCGCCTCTACAACCGTCGTACAAAACACAAGGACTGGTTTAAGCCTCATGAAATTACAGTGAGATCTAAAACAGTTTTCAGCCGCAGTGCAGTTCAGCGACACTCCTGAGGTAACACAGTGAGCAGGAGGTCACTCCTGAGCCCAGAGCAGTAAACACCTCGGTTAGTGAAGGCCCCAGCAGACGGGACGAGTTCCACACCCACACAGCACCGTGCTACTGCTAATGCTCTGAACCAGCTTAGCACAAAGACGAGTGAAGTATTCCCACCAGCTGTCCGTGGTTGAAAGGCCACTGTGAGGACAAGGCTGCAGAGACGCTGCTGATTAAACCAAGAGAACCAAGTTAACTCGAGTTATGAGAATAGTGTTGCCCTACAGTGTGATGTCACAGAAATCCATCCCTGAAGATTATTTTTGGAAGCAGCTTTTTCACCACCCAGCTGAGTCAGTGTGAGCCTGACTCGTCCTGGCTGTGGGCACAGGAGGATTACTTCTGATCGCCAGAGTAATCCTTTAAAGTTTAGTGGAAGCACATCTGCCTGCAGACGAAGCCTCCGGTTTATGAGCCGTGGTATAGGTGGATGCTGCCATCCACAGCCTGCTTTGATGGATGCTCCGCCCGGATGCAGCTGCTGTCACTCAGCTCCTCGGCCGTGTCGCCAAAGCCATGGTAGTGTCCATAATGCAAGAAATCCCCACAGTCCACCCCGGTTGGCCCCAGGCACGCGGGCCAGTTGGAGACGCAGCCGCCCGGGCTGCTGCTCAGGTGCAGCGAGCCGCACATCTCGGCTGAAGCCCGCCGACAACGTGGCGGAGAGTGAGAGTTTGGAGAGAGCGGAGGAGGAGGCGCAGCGTGGAGATGCCCGTTGTTGAAATCTGCTTTTAAACACAGCAGCAGAGAAAATGGGATCAGAGGTAGATCATGTGATATTGTTGTAGCCATTTGCTGCTTTGCCACGCAGAGCAAACCCACCTGCGCTGAGCTCCAGGCTCATGGCTTCCAGCTCCTCGAGCGCGCTGCTCTGCATCAGCATACCTGCAGCACAGCACGATGAGAAGAGCGAGCAAGCAAGCACCGCGCACACGCCTGACACGTAAACATTTCTTACCATCAGCCCTTTTGGCTTTTTTCAGGTGGCCCGCGTCCAGGGCGGCTAGCTGCCTCTTTCTGCTGAGCGCGCCCAGACCACAGGGGGCGCCGCCTCCATTCTGCACTATGTTGCCCTCGTTACGCTGCTGCAGGTGCTTCTGGGCGTTGGAGATGAAGCAGAAACAGTCGTGGAAGCCTTGAGCGTGGGCCAGGTCTGCTGCCGTCTGCCCGCTTGCATTCTCTAAACTAAACAATAAGAATGAAGTCAGACAAAGTGCATTCTGGGTAACAGCACCTCAAACCATCAGAGCTCTAATGTTGCAAGAAGAAACCATCACGATCGAAGAAAACCAGTCCGAGTCTTGATGGTCTCACCCTGCAACACGTGCTGTGACTAACCTGCCCACTCACACACAGCAAGACCGCGATCACCGCCACGTTTCAGCTAAAGACGACACGCCGTGTTTCAAACTGTTTACTTTCCTGTCTATCACACAGATGTGAAAGCCGTGTGCATGCCTCCCAAAACTGGATATAATACAATCTGGATATTATCAATAAAGTTCTTTTTGTATTGTTAATATTCTACATTCATTTCATGCAAAATGAAACATTTCAACCTGTTTGTTTTCATTCTGATGCTGGATCATAAAATTTGCACTCCAGCATCTCAGATTATTAGAATATTTCGAGTTTGAGGAAGTTACGGTTCAGACAGTCTCGAGGACGTACACCGTCTGACTGCTGACGTCATGTTTGAGAAGGATCCATGAGCAGCCACAGAAGGCTGCTCACAGCCGTACTGGAGCATCTCCATGGAAGTGGACCGGAAGGGAAAAGCACGGCAGGAAAAGGTGCAGCAGACATGACCTCAGCCTCGAAATCAGTGTCAAGAAAAGTCATCTCAAGAACCTGGGAGAGCCTGACAGGAGTGGACTGAGGTCAGATCAAGCCTGAACCAGAGATAACAGAGCAGCGCATCTCAGGAGGAGGAGGAGAAGGTCCAGAGTCTTCTTTTCAAACTGAAATGAGCTGTGGGCCACTGCCATCTCACGCTAGTGTTCAAGTAGCACAGAAGAACAACAACAAACATTTCCAATGCCAAGTTGCATTATATTTCTTCACGTCAATAGTTTGAGAGCCCTGCTCACATGTCACCTCCTGGTGCTGCTCCAAAGTCAACACAGACATCTACCAGCAGACGTTGGAGCTCTTCATGCTTCTCTCATTAGCTTTGTGAAGACACTCACTTATCGACATCATGTTTCGGTATTTCAGGAGTGGGACCACGCCTCCAAACACGCTCGTTCTAGTTGTCATCTACAGAGGTTCCCCCAGTTCTGCAAACTGTTCATTCTCCTTTACGTGCCCTCCCTCCCTCCTTCCTTGTTCTCAATTCCTTAACTTCTTCACTTCTATTTAGTACACGGGGATCTGCCAGGCCCAGGAGCCGTCACCAGTCCCCTTCGAGGCCTTCCCCAAACCGCAGCTCAGTTCATGTCCAAGCATCACCTTTACCTGCTAAAATGCTGTCAAACCTAAAATGAGGACGTGGGCCCAGCGAGTGATGTGCAGCCGACTCACCTGACCTGAGCTATAGAGATTATGTGAAGAGGAAAACAAGAACCAGCCGACCCAAAAACCCAGAAAGGCCATCAGAGCAACCTGGAGAGCAGTAACACCTCCCCTCCACACTGGTGAAGTCTCAGCCACGTATAAATGAAGCTGGACTTTTCTGACTGATCTTCCGCTGCACTTTTTCACTTTGATGGGTGATGCTGAGCAGCGTCTGCACCGCTGTGAACATTCGGCTCGGCTGAGAATGGATACAAGGAGTGTAGAAGATATGAAAGTTTAGGTTTTTGAATGAAATGATGAAGAACAGAGGCGGTTTGCCCCTAATATTCTAACCGTCTGAGATGTGGTCTATGCATGGTCCTAAATGAAAAAGAACAACATCAGGTTGAAACTGGAGGACCAATCAGGACACAGGAATCGCCAACATTTTGCTCCGATATCCTACACAGTACATCTGTGCTGTCATGAAAACGATCATGCTTTTGTGATTTCTAAGCTTCGATTATGTTCTAAAGTAAGCTCACAGCGCTGAAGCTTCTGTTCTGTAATGCTGGGGTGGTTTGGGTTAGAAAGGCCTGAACAGAAGGAGAAGTGAGTCATCGTTAGGAAATGAGCTGTGCTTTGTAGAAAACCACAGATCAAGTTCTGATTGTCCACAGATGTTTCCACATAACCTCTCAAACATGCTGAGATCAAGTCAAAGCTTTTCTTTCCTCTGGAGTACCTAATAAAGTGGCCAGTGAGTGCAGATGTAATTTGGTTAAAAACCTACAAAAATAGACATTTCATTTTACAGGTATGTTTACCTGCTGCAAATTCTGACACAAATCTATTTTTTTCTGTCCAATTTGCTCCGTTGTCTTTGTAACATACAGCACTGAACTGCACTGCACAGCGCAGCACAGCACAGCGCAGCACAGCACTGCACAGCGCAGCACAGCACAGCACTGCACAGCGCAGCACAGCACTGCACAGCGCAGCACAGCACAGCACTGCACAGCGCAGCACTGCACAGCGCAGCACAGCACTGCACAGCGCAGCGCAGCGCTGCACAGCACAGCGCTGCACAGCACAGCGCTGCACTCTGACGTACTCCTGAGACTAAGCTTCCATTCATTAGTGAGGCTGAGGCGTGTCCCATTAGCACACAGTATGTAAACAGTGAGGTGAGAGCTAAGCATGCATGCCTAAACATGACAGTCATCGTGAGTGCTTTGTTAGCATTCAAACCAATCACTGCAGGAAATACCTCGCCAGTTTGCCAGCTGCAGAAACTGTGGGAAGCGATAGTGAGCACTCAGTGGCACAACTGCAAGCTGCTCGCAGATGCACGTGTGGCAGATTCTGCAGTGCCTATTTGGATTGCTCCCTCTTTCTGGGACAACTTCAGAAAATCAAGTTCAAACTCAAAGGCTGAAAAACATCACAACGTGCAGGGTGTTTGTTTCTGCCAGCACAATTTGACAATCAAGATCACAGCTGTTTGTTTTTTTAACATAATATATAACATTTTGCAAAAACACATCTTTATATTGATTTCAAAACAGTTAAAATGTCCTTCAACAAGTGTACAAATGCCTTGAGCAGAAAAGCTCATGTGAGTACTCACGTTTGAGTCTCAAAGCTCTGATTTCTCTTGGGAAAAGTTACAAAGACATTCAAGTGAGTATTAAATACATTAATAATACTGTGTTCAGTGGTTATTTGGTAGGTTAGTGGACGCATGAATCAGTTTACAGTTGCTAATAACAGCAGAAACATTTCAATCTGTATCAGTTTTGTCAAGGATTCTGTAAAGTAGTCGTATTATTTCTACAGGACATTCAAGTCATTAGACAGTTAATGGTTTCCCTGGAAACTGGCCTAATAAAATTCATTTAAACCATCAAAAAAACTCTTTGCATGAGAATGAAATCAGTCACTACTCGTCAGTCGTCCTCAGCCGCGCTCCATCTCTCTCACCGGCTGGTAAGACAGATATAGAGAAGAGGTTGAGGAAGTGGGGTCAAGCACGCTACGGCGTTAGACCAAATCCACAAAGTGAGAGTAACACACAGAGAGCAGCTGCGTCAGGTTGTAACCACCATAACGTGAGTGCAGAGGTTGCTGTTGCTCTCATTTTCAGTTTTATTTAGAGGAGCAGGATTTTGAATTCTGGGTTTAACAGGAAGCCAATACAGGAGAAATCTGCTCTCTCCTTCTAGTCCCTGTCAGGACTCTTACTGCAGCATTTTGGATCAGCTGAAGGATTTTCAGACAGTTTTTAGGACTTCCTGGAATACAGTCGTCCAGCCTGGAAGCTCAGTGTCATCTAGTGGGAGCTGAGAAGGAAAAGCAGCCGAGCTGACAGGATCACGCACTGCAGAGCTCAGTGAGTGAGATCAGAAACTCTGCTGGTACTGACAGGTGCAGCTCCTCTCTCCATTTAAAACATTCACAGCAGCCAGACTTCAACACAGAACACTACAGCGCCCCCTGTAGGCGCTCTGTGTTGGTCAAAAATCACGTCCCATCAGTGGGTCATCAGAAAAGACATCAAAAGGAAGAACTCAATAAAAGCAGAACATTTCTGAGACTAAATATTTAATAAAAATAATTTAAAAAATGGTCTACAGGTATTGACACCGATGGACTAAACAGTCTCTCAATATTTTTGCTCAGTAAATGGAGAGCCATGTTTCCTTGCTTTACTGCACCAGCTACTTTATCATTTTTATTCAATATTTTATAATTTGATTAACGGTCTCTTGAAAACTTTCTGCTTTCATTACAACAGTAGGTTAAGGTAAAAGCCTAAATGATAAATGAGTGTAGTTTTCAGGAGAAAGCAAAGACAAAGGCCACAGTCTGATCACTGTTCTTGTGTTTTCCTCTTATTATGGAGTCTCAGGTGGTGTAACTGTCTCCATTTATATTACAGCACAGCATATTTACATGTTCAACTGCTGTTGCTGTGCCACATGCAGGCATAAAAACATGAGCTTTTCTGCTTTTACACTCACTACTTTTCTCCGCTGTGCATCATGACAAACATGCTAGAGGATTTTTACCTGAGCCGCTGCTGAACAAAACACAACACACACAACATTACTATCACTCTTTAAAGCAAATGGACTCAAATGAGCTGACTGGAGGGAACGGCCACTGAAACACGTTTTAATAGTGGGACACTTTGTACGACGCAGAACGTTGTAAACTCTGAGTCACAGAAAACATTTTTTAAACTAAAATGAACCGTCTGAGAAACAGTAAGGTCATTATGAATGTGCTGGCAGCAACAAAGGTGGACAGGGCCACGTTCATCACTGTGCAGCCTCCTGCCTTCTTTTAACTACAGTCTGTAAACACGTGTGAGCTGAGGAGAGCGGCTGCTGCACGTTTGGGAGAGGACCGGTGTCCCGCTCTGGTCAGTCCTGGCTCTGCTTTCATGACACACTAGATGTTCTCAGTTGGTGAACAGTTTGGGCTGCAGGCAGGCCAGCTCTGCAGACGGACTCCTCTACAATGAGCCAGCATGGCTCATCGATGCCGTCTGCTTCCCTGAAACACGTGGATGGAACACCTCTACAGCTCTAAAACCTGTATGTACTTTCACACACTGATGGAGCCTTTCCAGATGTGCCAGCTGCATATCTGGAAAGGCTGTCCACAGGCACTGATGCAACCCCACCCCACATCTGGCTTCTTCTCTGCATAATGGAGCTTTATCCTGCATGTGTGGATGACACGCAGAGCTGTGAATCAGCTCCATCATTACTGTCCGTGATGACATGTTCACAGTGAGGAACATTATTCTGAACCTGCAGTTTTCTGCAGACTGATGGACTCTGTCCACCTTTACTTCTGAGGAACTCACCTCTTTCAACGTGTCCCTCCCTGTTACCAGCTGATTAACTGTAAATTCTTCCTCCAGCTGTTTCTGCTTTGAACCTCTGATCGTTCCAATCCAACATCCCAACTCTTTGTGAGGTGTTGCTGCCGTCACACCCAAAATCAGCTCGTATTTTTCTTAAAATGATAGATTATCTCAGTTCAAAGATTTGTGAAACATATGGCTTTTGAGTTGGATTTGTCCAATAAAGCAAGCTTTGGCACAGATTTTAACTGGTCTTTATCATTATGTTCTCACTAAGTTAAGTATTAATAGAACCTGAGGCCATTATTTACTACACCGAATGGATTTTCTGCTGTAACTTCCTTATGGACAGTTAAGGACAATTACTTTTTTTTTTTTTTGAATCAAGGATCTTGAGACTATTTCATGTCACCTGTTTGTACCAGAACTTCACTACATCTTCATCTTGGTGATGACAGATGGGATGGGATGTTTGCGAGGATGTTAACAGTAGACCACTGTGGCTTGTTCCCTCCCAACAGCTGATGAGACACTAAGCATAAGATTTCAGGACAACAGAAAACACGGCAGAACCACAGCAGCTGATCTTTGTTAGCATGAGGAAACACGCAGCACTAAAGAACGCCAAACGCAGCCTGTTAATCAGGAAAACAAAAACAAGTCAGCAGAAATTATGCTGGCTGATGCCCCTTCATCATCATCCTCCTCCTCTGGGTTTACCTCAGGCGGGATATCTGAAGCACAGCACTGAGCTGCAGGATTTCCCACTAAAGTAAATTTCACAGTAAAAATAAAAGCTGTAGTTATTCTAACCAGACCTGCTGAGCATGTGTGGCCTACATGACTCAAATCTAAGACGTGTAGCAGCTGCTGTGGTTCACACTCGGTGTGCCAGAGCTTCTGTGGTGCTTTACACTGGATATTACTACTAAACCGAAGACTGGAGGATACTTACTGCGGTTTAGCGCCTGCTATCAAAAGGACCTGGATACACTCCAAGCTACCTGACCGAGCTGCCTTATGAATGGGAGCCTCACCAACAAAGTCCTGAAAACACAACGTAAACTGTAAGGTTTGAGATATGAATGAAGCTGTTAGAATAGCACAAGCCAACTGTGTTATAGACATGCAAAAATGACACTAATATTACTGACCAATCGAACTCTAGGAGACAATATCATAATATGAAAATGTTCACAGTCACAGGACTGCAGCTGTGGTGACACTGCTCAGATTATTGTGCACTGCTCTTTTGAAATAAAAGGTGACCAGCAGCAGTGAAAGCTCCTGCCCTGTCGGCCCACGCCTGGGCCACTGATGGAAGAGCTCGGGTCCATGAGTACTGCTGGCACTGTGAACTCTGCATCCATTTCTAATGATCTTTTCAGCTTTGCTGCAAGTACAAGTTCAGTCCCAAAACCTTACCATGACTACAAGTACATATTTAGTGTGAACAACGCTGGAGACACTGACAATAAAATGAACTTCATCTAACTTATGTACAGCAGATGCATAAACCAGAGGTCCCTAGATTCAAATATTCAGTGATAACACTCATAGATGCAAACAGCACCACATTAAGCATTAAATACTACACAATAGGTGAGTTTCCACACACTGACCTGCTTGTTGACGTCAGCCCCAGCCTGAGTGAGCCACACCACGCAGTGAGGATGTCCTCCGAATGCTGCAGTGTGTGTTGGAGTCTGATTGAATCGGCTGGTCACCCTGTTCACCTCGCAGCCCATCTCCACCAGGTGCATCACGCACTCCAGCTGTGCCACATGCCAGTAACAAATACAAGAATCACAGTGACACACTGCTCATGTATGTCACTGCTGCAGATCTCAGAGGAGACCTCTGCACTGACGCACTTTCATTGTAAGAAATCTCCAACAGTTCTCCTTGTATATCACCTGAGTATTGTACAGCGTGCTGTTCTCAAAGCAGGCTTCAGCTGACTTTGGTTGTTAGACATATTTAAAAATCCCACCTAAGGTCCGCTTACAGGGACGTATAAGCAAAAAGTGTAAGTACATCCAGACACTGCTTAAAACATGTGCCCAGTAAGTGTTTGGAGATATTTCAAGGTGGCTGAAGAGACGCTTCTAGCAGAGCTTTGGTAAAGACAGTGATATAAAATGAAGGAGATCAGAATCGTACGAGAAGTAATTAATCATCTAATAAAATAAAATAAAAAAACAGAGCAAGTTTTTATATTTCTAGAGAACAGAGGCTGTTGCGGCGTCGCAGGCTTCGTGTTTGTTTTGAGCCGATTTTGGCGCCTAAAAAGCGATTGGCTCCTACTGAACCAATGAAAACCTCCAAACACGTCAAGTTTTTTTTTTTTTGTCTTTAAAAAAGCTTTGTTGTACGCCGGTACTCAGACTGTTTGGGCCAATCAAACACAGTAACGGAGCGCGGCGAAATATTAAAGAGGAAAAAAGCTTTTAGCTTGATTATGAGCGCTGTCCGCCGCCATGTTGGAGTTTAAACATATAATACACACAGTGTGGTTACAGTTCACAGCAGCAGGCAAAAGTGCACACCTATTTTAACCCTCTTTCGTGTTTCATGGACACCACTATTGTGGTGATTGCATGCTAACCTGTCCATAGTGAGCAGCCCAGTGAATGGGAGTCCATCCATAGAAGGAGTCCTCGGCAGTTAGATGGATGTGGTTTGACAGCTGCTGTAACAGAAGGACCAGAGCCCCAACATCTCCATCCCGGCAGGCGCGGTGCACTGGGAAGCGGCTCACAAACACGTCATCCCCGGAGAAGCGGGCTTCTAGTCCCCCAGACATGAGTGAGCTGAGAGAGGGCAAACGGAAGCGCTTGTCTCCACCGCACCGGTCCCACGGAGCACACTGAAGAAGTTCAAACACAAAGGAAGAGCCCAGCTCTCTCGCAGGCCGTAAAACCCGGACTGGAGCCCGCCTCACAGCTACGTCCCGTGTGTTTGGGGCGGTCTGCGCTAAAAAGCGGCCAGGAACAGGTCCTCAGTCCTTTGACTCACACCACTGGTGAGCATCTTTATGTGTCCAATATATTCAAAAACATTGGTGATGTGGCACTAAACAACTCAAACCTCTGTCTGTGGATTCAGAAACATTTCTTAGCTAACGTGCTAGCTCTGCTAGCTGTGTAATAAACTGAGTGCTGGTCTCTGTGACCCCAGAAGCAGACTCACCAACCAGCAGTAACATGGCAGCCTTATCAGGCGGGAAAAAGACGAGCCAAAAGGCAAAGGTAAGACACCCAGCCAGCCCCGGACGAACCTGCCTGCTGTTCCTGCTAATCAGGAGAACAAAGACGGCATCTTTAGCTTTGTCCTCGTCAGACCGGCTGGAGTCCAAAGACTGGGCCTCTCAGTGTTCGATGAATCTGTGATAGTGGTTACTACAAGTACAGCGTTAAAACGCGTACCTGGCTAATAAAAGTGGGACTTTTTCAAGCCAGCAGCTAAACCTTTAACCTTGTTTTAATTCAAATACAACTATCTGAGTGACAGCCATCTTTAGACAGTGTGCTCAAACCCCGAGATGACACTGTAGACTTACATTATAAAACTAAAAATGTGGGCTGTGCATAATTTCAATGAAGAAACTACAGGAAGTGTCTCTGCTCTGTCGCCAGCTTCTTCATAAAGGAGACACTGTAAAGTCTGTCTGAACTTAATTAAGTTAAACCAGTAACTCAGCAGAGACCTCTTAAATGATGGTGATGATTTAAAACTCAGAGAATCAGTGCACTGAAGCTGGTATTGCAGAACATGGTCGGCCAACACATACCTAAGACTTTCCTTCTGTGTTTTCTATTCATTTGTCCCCATTGCTTATTTCTAGGCCATCCTACAGACATGCTTCATTGTGATAGCAGTTTACACTGAGCCCTTATCACACTCTGCCTGGTCTCGAGTGCATATTTAATAGTTTCCTTGTCTGTCTATGGATTACTTAGAATCTAAAAAAGCACAATTAAATGAGCGCATCTGTGGCAAAGAAGGATGCAGTCTTTTTCTATCTTTTTTTCTTCCAGGGTGGCTTTATCCGAGTGAGGAAGAGAGATTTAGAGAAGTTGACCACAGAAGTCATGCAGCTTAGAGAGTTCCTGCCCAGAGTTGTGAATGGGGATCTGATGGAGATGCTGCATAAAGCCCGAGCAGCTCAGACAAGTATGCTCAACTCCACTCTGATCCTGCTGTAAACACGAGGGTGTTGTGTGTATCACAGAGCAGAACATATACAGTTAATGTATAAACCTGAAGGCTTGTTGAAGACATCCAGCTACAGAGAGACAGAGTTGTCTAATGGTCAGTGGAGCCAGGTTTGTTTAACAGCCCTCACAGGTGATAAGGAAAGCCAGGTGCACCTGCTTTCTCATTAGCCTCATTTTATCTTCTACTCTGACCCGAGGCTGACCCAGTAAATATACAGCACTGTTGATCTAAGAAGCTTGCAAAGAAAAGCATCTGGACTTTAAGTTTCTTGAAGACATTTCACCTCTCACCCGAGAAGCTTCTTCGGTTCTAAGAGAGTCCCCGGTGGGACCCTAGTGGGAGTTGACCCCCTGCTGATCATGTGTCTCACCACATGAGTCAAGGTGTGAAAAAGGGTGTGGGTCATTATCAGCAGAGGTTTCGGGTGAGACCATCGTGAGACCTTGCTTCACCAATTCACCTGACCTGTTGAGGTCAACTGGCAAGATGTGAGTGGTTGTTAAGGTGCCTGGGAAGGGATCTCCAAACTGGATTGTAGGTGGCAGACAACTGGTATTGTGAGCCACCTGGGACTCTCCACCAGTTTCTTCAAACATCTTCAAGAACCTTAAAGAAGTCCAGTTGCTTTTCTTTCCAAGCTCCTTAGGTTACCATGACCTGCACAGGCATATAGCACTGCTATTCACGAAGGATGTTGTCTCACCACAGTATGTTGTGGTAATATAAGAAGAATTGGGTCGTGTCTTTTTTTGGAAGACATTGCACACCACGCCGAGCTATGCCAGGTTCCCAGCTTTCAGCAGTTTGGGGTGGGGGTACAAAAATAGTATTTCCTGCCTGTCAAACTAGTGAATATGTGGTATTTCCACAAATTCTCCTAAAGACATGGAGACAGTATCTTGGGTGCTGTTAGGTGCCTGGTGTCCTCACCTGCTGCTGTGCCCGGCTGTTTGTCACCCCCGCTGCTTTCCACTGGACCATTCTTCTGAGAGCAGCCCGATCTGCCAGCATCCTGGCCTCCGCCTGCCACGGCCTGGCTCTAGGGTGGTGCTCCCCGTCTCTCTGGCTCTGGCACAGAGGCTAACTTGCTAACTAGCTGCTTGTGCTCCGACATGGCGACCGTGAAATATGTCCCGTCGGCTCTGCTGGATCTCTGCCATCACCTCGCTCCTGGATGATGATGATGTCATCAAATCTCTCGTGACACTGAGCATGCTCCTTGATGTCCTCTGACAGGCGCAGACGTCATCGCGACAAAGCTGAGAAGCGCTCTTTACGAACCCCGCCGTACTCTAACCAGCCGCCTGCTGTTTCCATGCAACCTTTGAAAAACACGAACAAAAAGCCAGCTCAGCAAAACATCACGTGTGATTTAAAAGTCTAAAACGAATCAGTCATCACATGTAAGGTTTTTCGTTTCCTCTCTTTGTGACATCTTCCTCCAACTGTCACACGCGTGTTTTTCCCGTCGCTCCTCCTCGATAGCGCTGCAGAGATGCTGAAATATCAGCACCACCGTGAATGCATCACGGGGATGATAAAGGTTGTGCTGAGGCTGCAAACCCCCGAGATGTCATTTATCTTTCTCACTGACCTGCCTGCATGGTAGACGCTGCACTTAAGGTTTTTCACCCATTTATCTGGGTAAAAACCGTCATTGACATTAAAAATGTCCTTTTCAGGAGAGCTCTAGCACTGCGCCAAATATAAGGTGACAGCTCTATAAAGGTATTTGAAGTGACCCAAAGGACTGGTCTGATTATCTGTGTAGGTGCTCAGTCATCCAGCTCATGGTGGTCTAAGGAGCCTGGAAGAAGGCGCCTGAACTTCTTTAAATTTCCTTTAATATCTTTGTCTAAGCAAAGAGACATAAAAAAACGCAGGGAAAAATCAGAAATCACTTTTTGGCACGACAGCATTTCGGATTCTTCTGCCCACTCGACCCTGTTTACCACCCCCAGAAGCCCCAGCTTGTCCTCCTCCACACGCCTCCTTACCCATACTGACTCTCACAGCTGCCCCTTTACTGCAGAATGTATGCCACTGTTAGACTGCTCCAGCAGCACGCAGCATATCATCTAAGAGGTCCCACACTGGACCTGAGATGTGCCCTGTATTGACCTGTCCATCTCTGAGCACTATGCTGTCCCTTTTCCTCTTCCTTTACAGGAACATCAAGTCCGTTACTACATGACACCTAGTTCACATCTGTGGGAGATGCACACACAGACCACACAGTGTGCTGTGTGTAAGACGCGGACTTTTAAGTTGCATACTGCCATTCACTGCTTAGACTCCATGGCCCCTAATATCATGTCCTCCCCTGGTTCACCTGTGTGCTACACTCCATGAAGGGCTCAGGCCTCAGTGTCCCCCACTAAAGAAGACTCGTTAACTATTAACTGGTTGTTTTGTCCCTGTGAAAATGAAAAGAATTACAAACCCATAGAAGGTCCAGAAACCCAGGACCACCGCAGTGAAACCCTGTCTCTGCTTTCTCATGGTAAACACTCACCGCCACCATGCGTGTCATAAATCACGATTCTCAGCCACTTATTCAGTTTAGGGTCTCAGGGGTTGGGATTAGAGGCGGTTATACTCCGGAGAGGTTGCCGGCCTCTTACAGGACTGGGAGATTATGACATAATCAAAATGGGACCAAAACTCTACCTTAAAACTGACAAAGTTTCATATTGTGCAAAACTAGTGTTAGAAACATTACATAAGAATATCTGCTCTCAAACTGTGTGTGTGTTTAGTGAAGGAGCAGATGAGGCAGGAGTGTCTGCACCTGCAGTCTCGACTGGATGCTGTGCAAACTGAGAGTCAAAAAGAGAAAGAGGTGAGAGCGACAGTCAGACCTGAAAATGGACTCATAACAATAACATGAAAATATTTCTGGTATCCCACTGAGGAAACTGGACTTGCTTGATGAATTTGGGCTTGTCTTGCTTTAAGCCATGCTGTCATTTATTACTTGTTGTATGTGACACTGCACTGAATCCACGTGAATGGATGTTCAGGAAAAGCTGCTGTTACGTGAGCAACTGTGGCAGAGCAGAGTGGAGCTGCAGCAGCAGGCAGACTTCTGCTCTGGTCTGGGATCTGCTGCCTGCAGTCTGCTGTGGAGCTGCTCTGCCAAGGAGGACACCGTCTCACTTTGGCTGGCTGATGTGAGTCATGTTCAGTCTTTTCTGTCTCTGTGTGTGGACTTGGACTTGTTTCCCTGTAACAAAAACCCCAAATATGGCTACAGGGATACATGTTAGTGGTCAGTAGCGTTTGTATAAAGTGCAGCCACAGCTGAAAGTGAAACAGTATTCAATACATGAACATCAGATCCCAGTTTAATCCCAGGAGGAGACACAAGTGTTTTGGGAATGGGCTGCAGCCAGAACAAATATCTGCCTTTAAAAAATCAAAAATCATTTCCACAGTAACAAACTTGTCCCAGCATGCACAATAATTCGTTTGACTTGCTTGATCAAACCAACACAGTATAATTACAAAATGACCTTCTGACCACTGTGTTGTACATCTTTAGCTGAAACAATAAAATATGTTGTTTAAAGTGTTTGATGCAAAAGAAACATGGCTCCATATGTTTTGGTCGTTCCACATAATAATTTTATGCAGTGCAAACAAAAGAGCATCCTCTCTGCTCCTTCTCTTCTCTCTCCAAACTAAATTGGCTCCATGTTTTGTTGGTCACTGAGACATGATCTAACAGTATTTGTAACAGCAGATGTTAATGCTGCTGGATTGTGTGTGTGTGCTTGTGCGCACTTCAGGGGAAGCTGCAGGCCTTCCTTGCTGTAGCTGCTCAGACTCTCGAGAGCTTTGTCACGTCTTTGGATGAAGAGGAGAAAAGTCAAACTGAGGACTACAACTCCCACGAGCACCAGTTTGTGCTGGCAGTGGCTGGGACCATTACTAGTGAGTCTGAAGCTTCTAGCAGTCAGAAAGGATGTGTCGAAGCACATTTTCTTAGAACCTCCATCAACACGAATAACTACTTTTCTTTGTTTCTTATCAATCAGACGTAGCAGCAGTAACGCAGGGGCGGGACTTCCTGTCAAGCTCAGCGCATGTCTTGCTGGACACTTTGATGAAACTTCTCAAGTTGATGAAGCCTGGTGTCTTCCCCAGACTGAAAGTGTATGTGGATCAACCTCTTTGTCATTAATATGTATCAGGATTGAATAGAGTTAACAAGAACGTGACACAATGTTTGATCCATGAATCATAACAGGATCAAACCTACTTTTACTTTCCTCTAAAGCAGTCATTTGCAAAGTAAAATTCCTGCATTTTTCATTCAGTAATATAGATTTTAATTTGAAACCATCAGTGAGCCTCAGTGTTGGTCAGCTGTACTGACTTTATTCACAACATAGTTTTCAAAAAGTCTGCGCACTGTGTGAAATGTAAGTGAAAACGGACTTTATTTGAGTTAGATTTTGTAGTGTGGCAGTTAACAGTAATGCTATGAGCTAAACGTACTCGCTCCATTTTAAGATCTTCTCTGGTATAAACATCAGTATAGTATAATTATATACTCATCAGTTCATCAGTCTAAGTCTGCCAAGATGAATGATCCCATTTATAACCAGTAAGGTCAACAATGTTTATTAAAAAGCTGATAACGGCTGGAATCTGGTTTCCAGAGGGTTGTAGGTCCAGGTTTCCATGCAGTTCCAGCTGCTGTAATTGTGAGTGACTATTGGCTTCTCATTCTGTACAATATAAAATCCATGTAACAGTTTGTAGAAGAGTTTGGGCTGCAGGTTTTGTGCCTCCTTTGTCATCATTCTTATCCCTCAGCTATAAAAGGCTGAGTATTGTTGTCGCCCTGCTGGGCAGCATGGACACTTTGACGTAACATAAGCTTTTCAAACTGATACAAAGGCGTGTCTAAAAACTTGATCTGTGTTCTGATGTCTCTCCTTGTTTCCTGAGCTCCCTTCTAGCATTGAAGTTCTAACATTTTATTAAGACAAACAACATAAGTAGTTCCAACACAGATTAAAGCTGCTGCTTCTCCACGAGGATTGGAGCCATTTGATATGGTGCAGCCACCTCACTGGTACCCTTCATATGTGAGATATTTCAGAGATGTCCAGCTGGGATGTCTCTCAATTGGGAATGCCTCGGTGTCCTATGATAAGAGCTGAAGGATGTTCAGTGGGAGATGGAGGTTTGGGCATGTCTGCTCACACTGTTGCCCATGCTGGCTGCACCCTGATCATCAGCAGCACGTGGATAGAAAGATGCAGATTCTGTTTTCATTGACATATTAGTAGAAAGTTCAAGTGATCATAGCCAGAATCAGACAGGTTATGTCAAGCGACACTGCAGAGGTTCTTGTCCATGTATTTGTGTCTTCACGTATTGATTATTGTAGCGCTCTCCTTTCTGGGCTTCCAAAGAAACGTTTCAGAGGTCTACAGATGGTGCAAAATGCAGCTGCTCGCATTTTAACAAGAACTGGGAAATTTGAGCACATTACCCTGTTCTGAGATCTCTGGCTACCTCGTCAGGTTCGAGCAGATTTTAAGGTCCTGCTGCTCACCTACAAGGCTTTAAACGGACTGGCACCTTCATACCTCTCCGACCTGTTACACCTTCATGTTCCACCCCGTGCTCCATGTGTTGAACACACATTTGTGTACAGGTCTTAATTCTGTGGCTTTTAGTTTTAAAATTCTTACTGTTTTTAACTTGTATTGTGTTTTACGTGTACTGCTATTCATCGCTTTTATTTATTCATCTTTTTAGTTATTATTATTATTATTATTATAGCGACCAAGAGTTTGTAATGTTTGTGTGTGGTATGTGTGTTAGTAAAAAGGGACCTACTAAAGTAAATACCTGTAATTGCAACAGTGTGCAGAGCTCATACGACCACAATGAAACCCACAAACTTGACGAACATCATAGTTTCACAGTGCTGACCAGCCACCACTCGCTGGAATTTTATTCAACTTCTTTTTTTAAAAGCTCTTAAAAGGGATCTGAATGTGTTGATATGTTGTGGCCACTAGATGTCAGTGTTTCTCTGCAGTGTGGACTGCTGTTCACTACGGTGATGCTTTGCTGCAGGTTGATGCTGATGGCGCTCTATAACGTGAGCATCAGTCTCAAAGGACTGAAGTACCTGAGTGAGAACCAAGGAATCCTCCCTCTCATCTGGAGCCTGCTTGATGGTAAGCTGCTGCATGCTCCAACAACAACAGTGTCTGCCCATCACTCACAGACACTGTGCAGACACTGTGCTCTAGCTCTAGCCTACAACCCGTCTCAAGTCTAACCTTCAATGACACTGATATAGTTAATTGAATAAACTGTCAGTGTCACAGACTGTGTATTCCAGGATCTAATTTGTGTGTCTGTAGACGGACACTGGGAGGTGTGTCTCCACTCCCTGCGTCTCCTGCAGTCCATGTTGTTAGAGGACGATGTGTTGCTCCTGTTGGGCTCCTCGCTCCTGGATCCAGACCTGTGTGCTGGCGTCAGCAGGCTCGCTGCCAGCACGCAGCCAAGCCTGAGACTGACCGCTCTGCAGACCTTGGAGGACCTCCAGGCCCTCCAACAGGTACCACAGTATGATGAGCCCTGCTTCCCTGCTCTTGCAGTCATTGTGTTTACCACACTAACTCTGTCAGGACAGAAATGAGGACTTGGTATGTGTTCAGGTTAACTTCACCTGTTTTGCTTCTTTTGTTAGCATCTGAGTCTTTCACTGCTACTTTTCTTCACTCCTGGTAATTTATCACATAACAGTTAGTGAAAGCACTAGTTAGTGTGTTTTAGGTTCAGCTGTTAGTCTCTGTTTTGCTGAATAGAGAAGCAACTGCACTGATGTCTCACACGGGCAGATCTAAAGTCTAAAGTGTGATTGTGCACTGCATGCAAATGTACACACTTGTCCCTTCTCACATCACCGTGAGATCCATCCCTGACCTTTCTGAGCACAGACTGTGACATGGTGTGTTTCCAGGGCCGGGCCTGCAAACAGAGCCGTGTGTGACGAGGGAGGACTGGAAGTGAAAGAAGAGCCTTTCTCACTGCATTGTTCACCGTTCAGCTTCTATGTATGTTCACACTGCTGTGCATTGTTAGTGCGTAAAGTGCATGTAGATCTGCATTGTTAAACCTGTCCTAGTAAAGATGTTTGCAGTGTGTCTGTGTCGTGTCAGTACAGCAGAAGCACAGGACTGAACTGCTCTGAAGGTCTTCTGCACTGATCTGTTCTCTGTGCAGTCACCCCCACGCTGCACACACTGAGCTGTATCCATGGACTAAAGGCACGAGCAGACGTCACTCACCCTCTGTAAACTCTGCTAAAATCGCTTCACTGAAATCATTGTTATCTTATAGAAACTCTCTCTGTTCTTCCTGATTCATCAAAACAAAGTGTGAGCTGATAAGAAGAAGGGCAAAAGGAGTAAGACCACACAGGGGTTGCATTTTGTTAATTGTACAGCTTTATTGCTTCTTTAGTATGGACTTGAATAGTGAGCAGATATCCACTGAACAAAGCTTAGACTTCAGTACAGGATATATGTGAGACAAAGGCTTCAGAGGAAGAACATGAATGGGAGAAACCAGGGCTGGTACAGAACATGCCAGGCGTGTTTGTTTCAAGCTCAAAGCCTGTCAGAGGACTGCTCTGAAACACGCTGGGCCATGTGAGTGTCTCCAGATGACTTCTCTCTTTAAAAACTCCAGCGCCTCTTACTCGACGGCCGATTTTTGTTCTACTTTAAACAGTGATACTAATGAGTTAAGAAGTAACTATAGAAAGAGAAGCAGGGAAGACACAGATATCCTCTAAGGAAAGGGGAAAGAAGAATTCTGGAGTCGTCCATCCCAGTTGATGCTGGTTATTCACGGGGCTGAGCTCCTTCAGTGCCCCGGGTCACCCACCAGCACTTGGCCTCTAGGAGGAGGCGGCAGCGTTGGGCTTATCGTCACGAGTCACAGGGATGCTGCGCTCGCTGCGGCCAGACTCGCTCCCCCCGCTGACCTTTGGTCCGGTCAGAGTCAGCAGACCGTCAGCTGACAAGGTGCAGTTGATGGATGATTGGTCAACGCTAGAGGGGAGGCGGTAACGGCGATGAAACTCACGGGAGATGTAACCGTGGTCGTCCTGAAAAACAGCAGTATTGATGCCATGAAGCCGTTGTCAGTCCAGGGAAAGCTTCACTCAGCTCACTCTCACGAGAGAGCGAGCACACACCGCTTCCTGCTAACTGCTGAGGGTTTCAGCCTTCAAAGTAAGAGACCCACCCAGCTCTATTAAGACGGGTGACAAACTGAGTGGAGTTGTTGTGAGCCAGGATAAGTTAGTATTGTGTGTTAAATGTCTATTTAGTCTTTTCAGTCCAACATGACTTGTTTTTCCTCTTTTCATTTCCACTAATAACACAAAATAAAATGATAATGTCCAGGCTAGAGGACACCTAGCTACACACCTATTACACCCCATAACAACACTGAAGGCATCTTCATGTGATCAAATACATCTTTTTACCTTTCCTACATATTACAGGGAACTTTCTCACAGTCTAACATAAACAGGTTTGTATGTCTGAGCACCGTGGTTACGTACGTACGTGTGGTTTGTTGCTACATCTCTGATCAGTGATCTGACTCGTGTTGGAAAATCCCTCAGGAAGCCTTTACGTCCTATGAGTCTAACTCACTCACTCGTGGTGTGTGCATCAGAGAGGAGGACTACCTGTCTTTCTCCATGCTTGCCCTGGATCTCCACATAGTCGTCAGCGACCTTCACACTGAGCTCATCGGGAGAGAAGTGCTTGACGTCCAAGTAGACTGTGAACTTATCCCTGTCAGATCTCACCTGAGGGAGACAGACACAGAGAACATCTCTTGACCTTAACTTCTGAAACTTTAGGTCAACATCTTCATTTCTTGACTCTACGTTGTATGGAGCACAGTAGATGTTAGCTTTCAGTCTAACTAAACTCAAGACAAAATACAAGTATGTATTAAACAAGAGATGTACGCCGTCTATCCTCTAATAACCACAGAATATGAGACTAAATCCATATTTTTTACCTCTGAGATCCCAGAGTTGGAAAAATCCAAAACGTTGCGGAAGAGTGACTGTCTGTAATAGGGGCTGATGGTGGAGGCGGCGTAAGGGAAGAGGTCGTAATCAAACATGCCCTCTCCAAAAAACTGGTCAAAGAGTCTGGCAGGGTAGACAGAGCCCAGGGCACGTCTGAACCAGGGGTGCTGGATGGCAATATCCATAGCAACTGAAGACAGTCTGGTCTACTTTGGCTTGGTGGGGAATCCAGCAGAGGAAAAATGGAGATGAGGTAAGAATGGGAGAACGGTGGCAGTAAAGCAGTGGCTGTAGAAGGCTTTCAGAGTGCTTTGCTCCCCTCTCTACAGCTGCCTCCTCTTTATATACCTGAGAGCCAGAAAGAGAGGCTTTAGCCACGATCCCTCTGGAATGGCATTATCTCAGCATGGTGGGTTGGGCCCTGTCAGCAGAATCAGGGTTGAGGATGGGGGGGCACCACTAGGTCCAGTCCCTGCTGGGACGCAGCGGTAGTCACATCAGACACCCGGGGCTGCCAAAACAAACTGTGCTAGACGGAGAGGAGGAGGGGAGAGACAATGAGCTCAGGAAGCCAACTAAAGACACACAGGGATTTCACCTGTGTGACAATGCATCACACACATACACGTAGATCTGTTCTGTCAGTCAGTCGGTGACATAATGCTGTGGTATTGTTCTGCCTGTGTGTTTGGATGACGGGCAGATTTAGTAACAATGCAGTCCAGAGTCAATGGAACAACAGCTGACAGAGAAATGTGAGAAAGGAAGTGTGCCCTTCAATTCCAGCATTTTACAATGAGGGGGAAATAAAACCGGTCTGGACCCCAGCAGGCCTCGCAAATTCTTCCCAAGGTCGGACCATCAGTACTGAGAGAAGCTGCATGTCATACTCTACAGTCCTCAATTAGCAGGTTAAAGTTCACAAGAGTAGGACTGAACAAGTATGGCTTGAAGGGCTTCTAGGAGAAAGCCTCTTCTTTCTATAAAGAGCATGGCAGCACAGCAAAATCCTGAGGAACAATCAATCCATTTATTGATAAGCACATTTAAAAACAACAGGTTGACCAAAGTGCTGTAGATAGTAAAAAGTAGCTCGAACACACACAAAGAACAAAACAAAACTCAGTCACGATCAAAAGCTAGAGAGTAAAAATGTGTTTTCAAACGGGTTTTAAAAAGTGTTGGAGAGAAGTTTGGGTGCAGCAGAGGCCCGATCTGTGTTTCCTGTTTCCTGTCAGCTGGCCTGAGAGTTCTCTTTGGAGTATTATTAGTTATCAGATCAGAGAGGTATGATGGCGCTAATCCAGTTAGAGATTTAAAAACAAGCATTAAAATCAATTCAACAACGTACTGGAAGCCAGTTTAAATGAGCCAAGACTGGGGAAATATGGTGTGTTTGGTCTGTGCAAGTGTAGATGTTTGGCTGCGATGCACCAACACAAGCACCTGTCAGCGTGGTGAATGTTTGCAGCCACACAACCTGTCCAACAACTAAAGCGTCTGATGTCTCAGTGTTGGTGTTGAAGACGGAGAAACTGTTTAAATTATGCAGTAGAACAACTATATGACCAAGTTCGGTTTTTTGTCAGCCATATTTGTGTTACTCATGTTGATTAGCATTAGCCGACTTCTTGGCTAATGCTAACTGAATGACCAGACCAGGGATTGGTCAGTCCTAGACCAACGTCATTATGATGCAGCACCATGAGTGATGGTTAACTTTCAAAGGGCTGGTCAGTAAGTTTTCTTTTTTGCTATTTGATTTAATTTCTTTCTGTTTTGTACGGCGCATAACTCGGAGCCCCTCTGATGACATGGTCCCAAAAATCAAAACATTGTGCCCACAAAATACTACTTCGTGGGTATGAAATATGTATAACGTGCGCACAAAATGCTTATCTGTGGGCACGAAGCAGTATTTTGTGGCCACGATTTATTGATTTTTTGGACCATGTCTCCGTACATAACAAATAAAGTAGTTTCATACAAATAAACCATTTGTGGTGTTGTTGCGATGTTGCAGAGCCTTATATATAAATGGCAGATGAAGTTCCTCATACTGGGTCTATTCTGCACGAGGTGATATTCGAGGACCAAGCACGGCGCTCATAAACAAGAGGCCTGGTCTTGTGCAGCATAAGATCAGTTTTGGCAGAGCGACGGTGAAAGAAAGTGAGACTCACACAAACAGAGACACAAATGACTTAAAAACATAAAGGGGTCTGGTCCCAATGTCCTCACACACTTTCAGTTGTTCTACTGTAATAGATAAAGTTGTGATGTGACAGAAGCCTTTACACAGAAATATACATTTTATCACAGTAAGGCATAGCTTCAGAATTCTAATTTATAGCTTCCCATGTCTGTTGTTTCTCCACCAGTGGCTTCCCGCTGCCTGAATGGGTCTAATCCCACAGGGCTTTGGCCAGCGAACACGGGGGCTTAGCCGCTCCATGCACCCACAGGCCAAGAGCAACTGGGCTGGGTAGCTGGGTTGGGATGTTTTGGGGGCAGTTTAGGCAGCTTGTTAGGGTTCAGGGTTGCTACCGGATGCAGATGTACTTGCACTGGCTGCATTTCAGCAAAGTCAGCATTCTGAGGGTTTTTTCAATGGTTCAGATAATGCCCGTGTTCTCATGTTTTCACAGCTCTGAAAAGCTGTTTTGGTCCACAAACTGGCGACTCATGCCCATATTCAAGAGTTTTTCATAAGAAAATAAAGTAGGTAGACACACTGATGTACCCTCATGAGCATCAGCTGAACACTATTGTCCTGCAGAAAGTAATGTGTTGCTACAAACATGGTGAGAAAGAGGCAATTAACAGTGGAAGAGACACAGACCATCATAACACTTATAAATGTCGGTCTGTCCTACAGAGAGACTGCAAGTCAAGGTGTCAGTGAGTCCAGTTTCCTTCAGCATCAAAGGCTCAGAAACTGTGACAGCAGGAGGTCTGCAGACCCAAAGACACGACTGAATCACAGGACAAGTTTCTGAGAGTTAACAGCTGTGTGATCAGCAGCTCACAGGACAACAGCTTCAAGCAGCTTCATAGTGGTCGTAGTGAGAAAGTCTCAGTTTCA